ATTTGCAAAAATAGAATTTTCAATAATCACTGGCTTACTGACGAGGATCAGATTTACATAAAGGTGAATAAGGGACTATTATTAACAACACGCTGAAATTTAACCTTTTTTTTTAATCTCTAACAGGTCCAAGTTGTGCGGGATTCTACGTATATCCGAAAGACTTCATCTTCAATTACATAAACAAAAGTTATATGACTACAATGCGCGTACATTCAAATATGCATCAGAGTAATAAAAGCTAATATCACTATCAACATATAAATAACGTGTAATGCTCAATAAATGATAAAAGATTGCTTTTCAATACTATCCACCTCTACATAACGTACTTTTCTTATACTTAATAAAAAGGTTGCTTACACTTTTCTATACGACTCCACCCCCTGCAAATGTAAATAAGCACTTGACTTACTTTTCTAAACAAATTCTGCATGCACGGCCAATGAGAACGACTCAAAATTGAGTAAGAGTTACTCATATTTGAGTTCAGGTTACTCAAATTCGCGAAAACGTAGCTCACCCATAGAATGAGTCAATTTTCCGACGCTTTTCCGAGGAAAAGTTCTCGAAAATGAGGAAAACTGAATGTGGTTGTAGTGTCTACTAGTGCACTTCTAAACGTGTGTAAAATTTTCTTAAATTTTCCTTATATTCAAGAAATTTTTCCCGGGAAAGTGTCGCAAAATTTATTCACACTATGAGTGACCTACGTTTTAGCGATTTTGAGTAATCTGAACTCAAATGTGGTTAGCATTTTTTGTACCTAATAAACTCACGCCGACTCACGCCGCCACGCCGCCGCCCCCGAAAGCAAACGGCGTGACGCCGCCACGCCACCGCCGCCGGCAGAAAATAACATATCACGCCGCCGCCGAAAATATTTTGATCGGCGCACAGGTCTACCATGGACATCGATTGCAATCCATTGATGGCAACCGAATGTGCTGGAAAGCAGTTTCCACACCTGCGTAGGATATCGCACCCATTCACAATACACACATGGGCCGGGACCAACGGCCTTACTTCCCTTCCGAAGGAAGACGTGACCAGAGATTTTAATGCCTAAGAAAAATCCCACCGACCTCGGCTGGGATTGAACCTAGACCCATTGGGGTGTTAGAAAGCAGTCACGTTTACCACTACACCACCGGCGCCGGCATTTAGTAGAAAGCGTGTACTGTTATATTTCAGCTACAAGCTATTTGGGCAAACTCTCGAACGCATCGATCAGGTGAGGGATCTTGGTGTGATATTGGACCATGAACTCACTTTTCGACCGCGTTGTGAAGATGTGTTAGCAAAAACTAATAAGCAGCTCGGGTTCATCTTTAAGCTTGCTGATTGATTTCCTGTGCCCTAGTACGCTCAATTTTGGAATCTACCGTAGTAGTAGGGTTTCCATGCAATAGAAAAAAGGCTTTTCCTCATCCCATATTTCATTTAGACTTGAAGTCAGACTTGCAACATTTTCCCTGTCTTGCAACATTTGCTTTGTCATGCATCATTTTCATCACCATTTTGAGCTTTCCACGTTAAACACCTCAATGTCTGTGGTCTGTTAAATGTGGTTATCGCTCCTTCCTATTGTTATCTAGGCATGTAGCTCAAAGACACCAGCCTATTATCATAATTAGTTTTTTTTTATTTATAGATTGTAGAACAAATTTTGGGAGTTTTCTTCATCTATTGTGCAGTGAGGTTGATTGATTGTGCTATTGTGCGTTATACGCGGGAAGCGCATATAATGAAAAAGGCCTTGGTATGGCCCATTGTGCGTGCGCTTGTGTTACTTTTTCTTTATGACAATGCAGTCGCTATCAAGATTATTCTTGTATGACCTTGAATATACGTGGAGTGTGATTTTTTGTGCATACTAGTAGAACAAAGAGATAAGATAGAAGAGTGTTATCAGTGATTGCGGTGGTTCAAGGAAAATTAAATAAAGCATTTCCAAAAACATGACGCTGCAAAGTTACCAGGCCCGTCGGGTGGTGATTTATCAAATGCTCTACATTGACGAATACAGATTCCTAATCATTCACCACTAACACAACTCTTCTTTTCCTGTGACATCTATGAAGGTAGTATGGGTTACCTGTACCTTCTTAAGTAGATGTCCCTCGCTTCCCCTGCGATTTTAAGGATGTGGCCAGGTGCATAATGCGATGCTTGTTTTGAAGATTTAATTTTTGTGTGGGGAAAATCACTAATCGCAAGTGTTTTTTTTTTTCTGCGTCAACAAACGACAATTTCTTCATAACGTATTAGCTGACCGTTATATAGCCGCCCACGATTTGTACAGTTGCAATTTGTTATGCTATGCTAAATTGCATTTTTTACATCAAATCGATGAAAGGTTTCAGTTTTTGCGTCTGAATTTTTGAAATCTTAGTTCAGTATTTTTTTATGTAGAAATAACGGCACGATAAATTTTACTTCTTATTCAGATATGTATATATATTTTTAAGCGGTGATTTTAAGCCCATGAAACAGAGTGGTCAACTACAGATCATTAACAGCGCCGGTGGTGTAGTGGTAAGCGTGATTACCTCTCACCCCAGCAGGCCTGGGTTCAATCCCAGTCGGCGCCGCCGGGATGTTCTGAGGCATAACATCTCTGATCACGCCTTCCTTCGGATGGGAAGTAAAGCCGTTGGCCCCCGGTTCATGAGTTGATGGGTCGATAGGTAGGGTCCAGGTGTGGGAGCTGCCTTCCTGGCACGTCGGTAGCATTGGTGCTCAGCACGGAAAACAAGATCGACGGAAAAAACAAACCAAAGGAAAAAAAAAAAAAAAAAACTACAGATCATTCGGATGAGATCCATTCTAGTTATTTGTTTAAATTCAATTGAATATTTACCAAATAAGGCCTCAAAAAGCAAATTGAGGAGTTTGGATAGCTTTTGCTTACCATATATAGTCTGTTTAAAACGTGTTGATCGGAAATCTCAAATCCTTCTCAAGAACAGTTTTTATCGTCGTTTGTTGTCTTCGGGACCGAAATCTAGTAACAGCTAGTTAAACGGGAACTCGTAATTTGTTTGTGATATAAAGAGCTCGGTGGCCTAGTAGCAATCGATTTTGCTTATTGAGCAGAACATTTTGGGTTCAATCTCAAACTCCACATTATAAAGTTTCAGTGTGAAACAGATGTATTCTTAATACGAGATAAAGCGTATTGAAATACGGTTGGAGAAGCGCCTTCATATTATAGGGTTATACTTTAAATTGGCTTTCTGTCATAATATGATGTAAAGCTTAAACAAGGTACATAACAGAAGTAATATTTGAGTTTTAAAAAGACGTATTGATCGAAAATCTATGTTAAATCCTTCTCAAAAACAGTTGTTGTCGTCGTCGGTCAGGTCGCCGCCGGTATCGAAACCTATTATAAACAAGTTGAACGGGAATTTGATCGTAATTTTCTTGTGATATAAGGAGCATGGTGGCCTTGTGGCGACCGATTTTGCTAACTGAGCAGAAGTCCGTGGGTTCAAACCCAAGCTCCTTCGCAATATTGAATCGTTAGGACATCAATTTAGCATATCGTTTACCAAAATGAATCCTGCTGCAATCCCAACCCTTATATCCCACACCCAGTGGTTTCTCGTGAAAGTGCAGAGGTGTTCTCGGCTTTCATTAAAGCGAGTATTACGTCAACATATTCCAACCCATTGCTTCCTTGACGAGCATTCGGACGTAGTCGGTACTAATATTGTCTAGTTTTAGATCACCAGTATTTACACATTGAGGATGATTGCTAGTCCCAAGCAACGTCTATTGGTTCTCTATGTAATTACAGCTGATCTGGTAATAACGGAGTTGACTCTACGGGCGGTCAATCATTCTCATGCTCATGCTATAAATTGTTGAACAAATTTTGGTAAAAGTCTTGAAATTTACCAAAATTTGCAGCATTTTTGTAAATTTTGCATGGAAAAATATTTCAGTGGTCTCGAATAGTGGTTTTCTGTACAAAACATACATAAAAAGGGTACTGACAAATTCCACTCCAAATGACGCATCGAAAAAGCTAGGACTTCAACAATCGGGATTCTCCAGTTTTTTCAATAAAATTACCTTCAGACTAAAGAAATATCGTTGAATTGATATTCAGTATACAGAATTTTATGATTTCTAGTGCCCAATACAGAAATAAAATACATTGAGAAAACGTTTAGATGGCGGATATCCTGATGGTAAAATTTCAAATTTATTCTCCCTTTAACAGTTTTCTTTTTTACTGTTCTAAATATTTGTCAAAAAGTTGGTTTTTAGGTGCCCATGTGACCTGATGTGGAATGGCAGATTTGTTAATTGACAAAATTTAATATAATTTAAAAATAAAAACATATGTATAATGCAAGTCCCAGCACTAATAAATATTCGTTATAAACATTCGTAATGTTGTAACGCAAATTATTGACTGTAATCCCAACAATCCCGAATTCATTCAACTCTCTCGAACAACAGTATCCTTCACAACTCAAACAACCAATTCTTTTATCGAACGGTTCAAAATACCCCAAATCCTGGGAACCAATCCACTCATCTCGGAATCCTCGTCGACGCAAATTCGTTCAATAATCCCATTTTCCGTTCCGATCATCCTACTCCCACCAAAAAAATGCCCCAAACACAAGACAGTCTCGCGCCGAAATCAATATTGACTCACTAGATTTTGGCTTCCCTCGTGCTGCAAACTTTTCCGATCCTTATCTTCCCCTGGTTCTAATTCATCCTCATCGCCAAGGGGTCAACCATCATCTTCGTCTACCCATTAGGTACATACTAAAGCCGCCGTACACTTTCCCTTTGAACGGGCGCACAAAGTTTACTCGCCGCAGTTCGATTTCTGTTTTTCTTGCATAATTAAACACGAATCCCTGCTTTTCATTATGTTCTCTTAGCCGAAGCAGCAGCAATTTACAATGATTGTGAACATAAATTTGAAAAACTTTTCTTCTCTTTCTCCCGACTTTTTTTTCGCAGAGTTGCACTCGTGTATGCAGTAATTAAAGTCGACAGCCAAGAGGACCCCCTGGCCAGGAGTAACACCAGTAGTAGCAGAAGCAGCAGCAGCAGCAGTACCAGCAGGATTCTCTTCGATGCAGTAAAAATTTTCGAAACAAAACGCGTTGGCTGCTACCTCCGGAGAAGGGCAAGTGAAAGAAGAAGAGAAACCGTCGCAGGATTAAACGGTTTTCGGGTGAAAACTAAAGGAAAAAAGTTGTGAGTGCGAGAACTGAAGCCGAACAGCACGAGAGAGAGAGGGAGAGTGCATGGAAGAGAGTTTTTAATTTCGAATTCGCTGTTGACGGTGATGGCAAGCAGAGGGACATAAAAAAAAGCTGTAGAACTATATCAGCATAAATGAAAATTAAGTGTAGTTTTGCGGCGGTGGTGAAGGAATCATAGTGGCATAATAAAGTGAAGTTCTCGGTCTGTTGGAAGGGAACCCCGCTAGCGAACGAAGTGTGTAGAAAAACGCAGAAACGATGCAACAAACACCGACGACCGGTTGAAGCGACACCACTACCAGTGAAAGTGTGTAGACTTTTGTGCTCGTACGGACGGTATCCTGTCGTGTTCGGCAGAGCTCGGGTGCCACCTATACAAGCGAGTAATGTTCGTGTTTGGCTTCGGCAGTGTGGAGAGACGGCACGATTAGCCAAGCTCATATATACAAGTGGGCTCCGATGGTGAACAGTTTAGTACAACTTTAGACGCTCGTGACGAAAGATGCTCGCTTATGATTCGTGCATGCGGGTGTACGAAAGTCACGATTTACTGTGACGAGCAACCGATGCGAGAAAAGAAGCTTTATTCAGTTTACGTACAGGACTCATAAAACGCGAGTGGAGTCAGTGAAAACAAGCATCCTATAAACCGAGTGACGTGAGAATCCAAGAACTGGTAGATACCGAAGTTGAATCGCGGCAGATTAAACAAGTGTCTAAAGTGGCAAACGAAGATAACAACAAAACACGAAACATTGGCGAAGATGAGAAATTGCATGACATAACGGCGCCTTCGACGTTCGCTGCTCGTATCGTGCTCTAGTTCTTTAATGTTTAATTTGTTCTCGCGAGTTTGTGTTTTGGCGCAGAGGAGAAGGAGGAAAGGCGCCTGAAAAATGAAGTGAATTTATCTTAAATGATTGAAGCGACCGATAGAAAAAGCGAAGAAGTGGTTCAATTTCCGAGCAGTAAAAAAAGTGACGGAACGTGAAGAAGTAGACGCAAGGGAAAATGAGTCTAATTACGCGAAAAAGTGAGCTGGTGGCGTTACCGGCCCTGCTTCTGGTTCTGCTGCTCTCGGTTCAGGTCAACTATAGCCTACAGTATGACTCGGCTGAGGCACGCTACTACCCGAGCAGTCCGGTGGAATCCAATCTGCGGTACGATGCTCCGGATGACTGCAAGTACCGTGTTACGCCCGACGACGAAGTGGACCTAATGTGTAATCTAAGAACTGTGAACAGTGAATTTGATAATACGAACTTTAGTGTGATACCTTCGGAGCATACGGCTTCTCTGACGGTGATTTGCAACGATGCAATTATGGCACGAAGTAAACTGCAGCCCAAATCGTTTGCCCATCTGATAAGGCTGAAAAGTCTTTCGTTGGAGCATTGCAAGATTGCCAAGTTTGGCAACGACGTTCTGGCGGGGCTGAGTGATTTGAGGAATTTTACCCTCCGGTCACACAACATCAACTGGCCGGAGCTGAATCTGGAGATCGAACCGGAGGTGTTTGCCCATTCGAAAATCTTGGAACTGCTGGATTTGAGCATGAACAACATTTGGTCGCTTCCGGATCATTTGTTCTGTTCGCTAAATGGGTTGAGATCATTGAACATCAGCTCCAACCGGCTGCAGGACGTGAATGATTTGGGCTTCCGAGAGAAGCCACTGGTGAAGGATGAGAGTGCAAACAGTACCACAGTCAGTTGCAACTTGGACCTAGAAGATTTGGATGTATCCAAGAATCACTTTGTCCTGCTACCAGCCAGTGGATTTGGAATGTTGAAACGATTGAAGCTACTCAAAATCCACGACAACGAGATTTCCATGGTTGGCGACAAAGCTCTAAATGGGTTGAAGGAGTTGCAAATATTGGATCTGAGCTCAAATAAAATCGTTGCTCTACCAACGGATCTGTTCAAAGATCCAGCACAATCCATCCAGGAGATCTACCTGCAAAACAATTCCATCAGTGTGCTGGCCCCAGGGCTATTCTCCAAACTGGAACAACTGCAAGCATTGGACCTGTCCATGAATCAGCTGACCTCAGCTTGGGTCAATCGGGAAACATTCTCCGGTCTGATTCGGCTTGTTCTGCTAAATCTTTCGAACAACAAAATCACCAAGCTAGAATCGGAGATCTTTTCGGATTTATATACTCTTCAAATCCTTAACCTACGACACAACCAGCTGGAAATTATCGCTGCTGATACTTTCTCCCCCATGAACAACCTCCACACACTGCTGCTATCCCATAACAAAATCAAATATCTTGATGCATACTCCCTCAATGGACTGTACGCCCTGTCCCTGCTGTCGTTGGACAACAACGTCATGACCGGCGTCCATCCGGAAGCTTTCCGCAACTGCAGCACCCTAGAAGACCTCAATCTCAATGGCAACGAACTCACCCAAGTTCCGTTGGCCCTCAAGGATATGCGTCTTCTTCGGACCGTTGACCTGGGCGAGAACTCCATCACCGTTATCGAAGAACCCGGCTTCCGTGGAATGAACAATCTCTATGGTCTACGTCTAATAAGCAACCAAATCGAAAACATCACCCGTAAGGCGTTCAAAGACCTACCCAGTCTGCAAATCCTGAATCTGGCTCGAAATAAAATCAAAAACATAGAGTCGGGTGCCTTTGAACCGCCCTTCAACGTTCAAGCCATCCGCCTGGATGGCAACCTTCTAACCGACGTCGAAGGCCTTTTCACCAAAATGCCCAACCTGGTGTGGCTTAACATCTCCAGCAACCGGTTGGAAAGCTTTGACTACTCGCAAATCCCAACGCACCTGCAGTGGCTGGATCTGCACAAGAACGACCTCACCGAGCTGGGCAATCGTAATGGGATGGATAATCAGCTGTCCCTGCAAACCCTCGATGCCAGTTTCAATCGGATTACGAAAGTTACCCCTTCTTCCATTCCAAACAGTATCGAGTTTTTGTTTCTGAACGATAATCAGATTATGCACGTGGAGCCGCACTGTTTCATCCACAAAACGAACCTAACTCGGGTGGATTTATATGCCAACCAGCTGACCGGACTGGACATCAAGGCGCTTCGGTTGCAACCGGTGCCGGACGATAAGCAGCTTCCAGAGTTTTACATCGGTGGGAATCCGTTTGTGTGTGATTGTAACATTGATTGGTTGCAGAAGATTAACCACCTTACCTCGCGACAATATCCCACGATTAACGATATCGAAACGGTGTACTGCAAGTTGATGTACAATCGTGAGCGGGCGTTCATTCCGTTGATTGAAGCCGAACCGAAGCATTTTTTGTGCAGTTACAATACGCACTGTTTTGCCCTGTGCCATTGTTGTGAGTTTGACGCGTGTGATTGTGAAATGACTTGCCCGAACAAGTGCCAGTGCTATTACGATAACAGTTGGTCGACGAATGTGGTGGACTGCTCGGCCGCGGGTTACACGGACATTCCGAACAATATCCCGATGGATACGACCGAGGTGTATTTGGATGGGAACAATTTGGTGGAACTTTCCGGGCACAGTTTTATCGGGAGGAAGAATCTGAAAGTGCTGTACGCGAATCATTCCAATATCGAGATAATTTACAATACGACGTTCATTGGACTGAGACGAATAGCGATTTTGCATTTGGAGCATAATAATATCCAGAAGTTGTATGGGAATGAGTTTAGTGCGTTGGAGAGTTTGAGGGAGTTGTACCTGGAGGGGAACAAGATTTCGTACATAGAAGATCATACGTTTTCGGAGCTGAGAAAGTTGGAAGTGTTACGGTTGAATGGGAACCGGATTTCGAGCTTTGAGGTGTGGCAGTTGGCATCGAACTCGTATTTGGTGGAGATTTCACTGGCGAACAATATGTGGACCTGCGATTGCACCTTCCTGAACAAGCTGAGAATCTATTTGCAATCCAATGTGGAGAAGGTGATCGATTCGGGTGAAATCAGTTGCGTCTATAATAATCTAACGAGCATTCTGAAGGAGAAGGATGGGACCAAGTGTACATTCCGTGGTGAGGGCATGAGTTCGATTGTCCACACGCAGGAAATCGAGGACATGCTACCGCTGCTGTTGGTGGCGACATGCGCTTTTGTTGGATTCTTCGGATTGATCTTCGGCATGTTCTGCTATCGAAAAGAGTTGAAGGTTTGGGCTCACAGCAGTTGTTTCGGATCGCTGTGCTACAAATCCGGAACATTCGTCAACGAGTTCGATAAGGATCGTCTGTATGATGCGTACATCATCAATTCCCTTCAGGATGAGCACTTTGTTAACCAGATCCTTGCTTCAACCCTGGAAAATGACATTGGCTTCCGTTTGTGCTTGCACTACCGAGATTTCAACATCAACACCTACATCGCCGACACTATCATAGAAGCGGTGGAAAGTTCAAAACGTGCCATTCTAGTCCTATCGAAGAACTTCCTGTACAACGAATGGACCCGATTCGAGTTCAAGGGTGCCATCCACGAGGTCCTTAAGAGACGCCGAAAGCTAATCATCATCCTGTACGGGGATCTCCCGCAGCGGGATTTGGATGCCGACATGAGGCTCTACCTGAAGACAAACACCTGCATCGAGTGGGACGATAAAAAGTTCTGGCAGAAGCTCCGAATTGCACTGCCCCACGTGAAGAAGAGCAACTGTCTGAACAAGCGGTCGGCGATCAATATCTACGCCACAGCCAACGAGTACAATACCGCCACGACTGGGCGAGGAGGAGGAGGAGCAGGAGGAGCAGCAGTAGCAGCAGCATTAGGGCGGGGTGGTACGCTTCCGGCTCCGGGCCATGGGCGGCTCGAGAGTCACAGCTACGCCACCATTGGAGGCAACTGCCCGAGAAACTGTGATAATTATGATACGGTTAGTAATTGTAAATATAACACTACGCAGCACGAGAGGCGGCTGAACGACTTCAGCCGGAAGGTGACAGCGGAGAGACAGCACGAGTATGCAGTTCCTTCCAACTGTCTACTGGACACGACGCACGAGACGTACAACACCAGCTGCGAGCGGATCGCAGGGGAAACGTTCGAGTGCACCTCCAGCAGCAAATACTCGACGTCGTCGCGGGGCTCGAGCGAGTGTTCGCACTCGCCACCCATAGCCAACGGGGGTGCCCCGAACATCCTGTCGACGACCTTTATGGGCAAGGCCGAACCCTTAGGCGGCTACAACAATACCAGTGCTTCGAATAATTTGAATAGTAATAGTAGTTACAACAATAGCAGTAGGAAACCGAACAATTGCGTTGGCGGCGTCGGTTGCAATGACAGTAGCAGTAGTAGCAAAGGTGATAAGCCCAACACGCTTGGGCACGACAAGAACAATTTCAATGATAGAAGACTGCCACAGGCCATGTGGGCATAACGATTACTTAAATACAGGTTAGTTAATTATTTTTATCGTTAAAGAGATGATGAAAAGCCAACAGATTTAAGAAGAAGAAGAAGTAGAAGAAATCTCCTGCACCACGCGCGCACTGTAAACAGTCAACTCACAGATTATACAAAGATTATATTCAATAGCATAGGCAGTCTCACACTCACTCTCACACACTTACCCTGTAGTCGTCGGTCAGTTTTAAGGGCAATATCGCTAGACTAAGGCTCTCTATTGGAATGCGTTCCGGACGGTAGTCGTTGGGAATGGTTTGGCTGTCTTCTGGGATGGGAATGGTTTGGTGCATTTGGTCACCTGGGCGAATGGGTCATGCTCAGAAGTATTCATCGAAGTTCTCGCTCGATTTTTTGGAAAATTACCTACATTGGAAGGTAATCGCAAGAGCTAAACACCATTTCTTTTTAATGGAGTCCTTGTGAGTTGCTTGATGCATGATGAGCATTCAACTTTGCACTTCTATTCCTGGTATAACTAGTCACTTGGAGCTCCTCAAGTTACTGTGATGTGCTACTATGCTGACAATAACATGGGAAATACACTCAGTTATTTTCTCGTGTGAAAAAACCCGTTGTTAAAACCTACCAAAATTTTCATTTTTCACATGCTTAATTTTTTTTAAAAATTTAGATGTTGATGCCAATCCTACACACTTAGAAAAATTCATGTAAATTTAGGTGCTCTGAGACTGACATATACGAGCGTCAATTTTGACATAAAATTGAGTCCTAATAGACGCGAAATTCAGCTCAATCAAACGTTCTTTTCGTCGAGTAACGAACTTTTCAGTCTCGGAGCACTTAATTTTACAGTACATGTATGTTTACTAAACTGATGCAAAATTTGACTTTTTCGCTCCACAGTGCTTAAATGGTTTCAAATCGGGTCGTGATTAGCCTCCAAAAGTTACAACTCATTTGGTTAGAAACAGACTTCGCACAAACCATTTGAAGTTTACATGTAAATTACTATGGGAAATCTCAACTTTTTGTTCATTGCCTTCTTGTCTTTTTCCATATTGAGCTGCAAATAAGCTCGATAGCGATTCTTATAGAAAATTTAGCAGCTACAACTTTGCTGAAGATTGTTTCTATGTAAAACCAGACAGGAAAAAGTTATTAATTATTTAAGAGATTGGTAAACTTATGACATGATCAAGCAGCTGCTCTGTAGGCAACACTGAATTTTGCAGTGTGACATAGTAGCCATAATTTTTTGTGTCCTATTCAACGCCCCAGAAACACCAATGTTGCCTGCTGAGCAGTTGATTGAGCATGATCATAGGACATCAGTGCATTGAACCATTGATAACTTTCGATCCTTGTATTTAATCAAAAAGTGGTCTTCAGCAAAGTTGTAGCTGGGAAAATATCCTACAAGCAAAATTGAAAGCTTTTAAAGCAGACCGATATGGTGAATTATTAGATAGACATGAACAAAAATCTTGGTTTTACCATAGTAATTCCCATACAAACTTCAAATGGCTTGTGCCATCTCAGTTTCTCACCAAATGGGTTCAAATTTTGAGAGGTTAGTCAGGATCCGAATTGGAATCGTTTAAGTATTGTGGAGCGAAAATTTCAAATTTTGCATCACTCTAATGTTTACGTCTCATCCTTTACGTCAAAGATGAATTCCGTCACGTGTAAAATTACGTATTTCTAAGTGTGTAGTATTAGGATGCTGGGTTCATTGCCAAATTTTTAAAAATTTCTGTATCTTCAATGTTGTGATTTTTCCATTTGATAATTTATGACTAAAACGGATAATTTGAATTGAATTAGTTTGATAAAATGTATCATTTTCGAGAAATCGTTAAAAACGACTGTGCTGGTGCAAACGACGTAAAAAAACCCGTTTAAAAAAGTCTTCAGTGTAGTGGTGTTTAGATTTCTACTGATAACCGGTTTTTTTTTTTCGAGGAGCCTTTGAAAGCCATTTTGGCGTTTTAAGGGATGTTCATAGGGAAAATTTTGAAGTTTACAAGAACTTTTAGCAGATTTTCAGGTCATTTTATTGCCTTTGGGTTTTTTGATCTATTTGTTGATTTAATTTAGAGATGATTTTGGAGGTTTAAGTCAATTTTGGAAATATGGCTGGTTATTTGGTTATTTTAAGCCACTTTGGTCAATAATACTTGTATCGACGGAATATTGGCTTTGGCCTTACTTGAGATGTTATTGGAGATTGTTTAATCCATTTTAGCATTTTCTAACTGATTTGGTGCAAAAAAATATATTTTGGCGTTCTCATGAAAAATTCATTTAGAAATTTTATTTGGTGTGGTTGACACAGTCAGATGATTTTGTTGTTAAAATGCTGCGATGCCGATGTTAATGACATTTTGACAATTAAAATTAAAGTTTTGTATATTTATGGCATTATTTTTTTTTTTTTCAAAACCAACTTAACAAATTGTTGTTAAGCGGTTTTTAGCTTTTAAGGACATTTTGATGTTTTGAATTTTTTTTAGCGATATAAGACCATTTGAATGACAGATTAGGCGTTTTCACAGAAATTCAGTGGTTGAAATACATTTGGAGAGGTTACATGCCATTTTGTAGTTTTATCGGCATAAAAATAATGTTGGCATCAAGACACTTTCAAGGGCATTTAGGCATTTTTAGGGTGTTTTATCGTTTGTATGATGAATAAGGTGTATTTAGAGGATTATGAAAATGTATAATGTTTTCCGAGACTTTGACTTAAGTCCAATTTTGTTTGATATTGACGTATTTAATGACATTAATACCATTTCGAATTAATACATCGATTCTGGCATTTTGTTGAATCAATATAATAAATAATATTTGTTTCATAAGTATTGGCATTTTTGTTTTTTTTATTTAAACGCTCTAGAGCAGTTCCACGCCAAATGATGAATTGGAAAAACTTGACCTTCGCCGATTTACATAAAACTTTACACAACTGTTTTTTATGACCAATGATTCACTTTTTTGCTAAAATTCGGTCATTTTGGATCTTGTAAAATATTCAAAATGACACCATTGAAACTAAAAAAAATAGTTGGAAATGGTGAGAAAAAGTTATAGAAAAAATTATTTCATAATTTGGACGGCCGTTTTAGCGGTTTTGGTGATTTTGACGTTTAAATATGGTTGTGGTGTTTAAGACTGTTTCGATCATTTAATCTTTCCAAAGCTTTTTAGAAGTTGTTAAAGCTATATTGGAATATTAAGGCTGTTTTTGGCAATTGAAATTAAAGCATTGTATTTTTAAGGCATTATTCATTATTTATTTATTTTCAATACCAACTTAACAAATTGTTGTTAAGTGGTTTTAAGCTTTCAAGGACATTTTGATGTTTTGTATTTTCATAACTTTGTTAAAATATTTTGGTTGATTTGAAACCTTATTAGCGATATAAGGCCATTTGAATGACAGATTTGGCGTTTTCACAGAAATTCAGTGGTTGAAATCCATTTGGGAAAGTTACAGGCCATTTTGTAGTTTTATCGGCATAAAAATTATGTTGGCATCCAGACACTTTCAAGGGCATTTAGGCATTTTTAGGGTGTTTTATCGTTTGTATGGTGAATAAGGTGTATTTAGAGGATTGTAAAATTTTTTAATGTTTTCCGAGATTTTAAGTCCATATTTGTTTGATTTTGACGTATTTATTGACGTTAATACCATTTTGAATTAGTACATCGATTCTGGCTTTTTGTTGCATCAATATTTTAAATAATATTTGTTTCATAAGAATTGGCATTTTTGTGATTTCAATGCTATATTAATACGCTCTAGAGCAGTTCCACGCCAAATTATGAATCGGAAAAACTCGACCTTCTCCGATTTGCATAAAAATTTGCACAATTATAATTTGGACGGCCGTTTTAGCGGTTTTGGTGATTTTGACGTTTAATAATGGCTGTGGTGTTTAAGCCTGTTTCGGTCATTTAATCTTTCCAAAGCTTTTTAAAAGTTGTTAAAGCTATATTGGAATATTAAGGCTGTTCTAGTCATTTTAGTTATATTTGACTTGTAACATTTTGAAAATTTAATGACAATTTGGGCATTTTTACAGACAATTTTGTATTTTAAACCATTGGGATAGTAAACAAATAACAAAATTTTCAAATTGCTTTGAAATCGTCCACAGGAATTTATGAAACATCAAAGTCCTCTGAATACGGCAAATTTCAAATTGCCTTGAATGCACCGAAATCGTAAGAATATGTCAAAATGATCTTTGCCTCAATGTCAGTATTGCCTAACTATCTTTAGCAGTTGCCGATTAGATTTCCAAATGGACTTAAACGTAACGGGTCGGGAGTTGTTTTAAGGAGAAGGTAAATCACGGCCTTCACTTAAGCGCCAGGTAACACTAGGTTACCGTGAAGGAGCAAGTTCTCAGAATCCGAATATCGTTCTGGCTAGAAACCTCACAGTAGGTTTATCAAATTTCAATACAATTTCAATAATTCAGACTAAACTCTACAGCAAACTTACACCTAGTAATTAATTCAAGAAACTAGTGTTCAAAATTTTAACTTCCAATAACTTCAACTCCATACGATCAAAAATACCGTTAGTTGGGCGTCAAACGTGGGGCAAACCATCATAGGAAACCTCTCTTACCGATGACTTTAGTCTTTTCTCTGTTGGTCATTCCATTCGTTTGTTGGGTTCTGTGCAAATATTGCCGCCATTTGTAGGAATTTTGATAAACCTGCCCTGAGTGCTCTAGCCGGAGCAGGATTCGGATTCTGAGACCTTGCTGAGACCTTCATGGTAACCTAGTGTTACCTGGCGCTTAAATGAAGACCGTGATTTTCCTTCTCCTTAAAACAACTCCCGATCCGTTACGTTTAAGTCCATTCGGAAGTTTAATCGGCATTTGCTAAAGCTAGTTAGGCAATGCTAACATTGAGACAAAGATAATTTTGACATATTCTTACGATTTCGGCGCCTTGCCTTGACAATTTTGAATTTGGCATAATTAGAGGATTTTAATGTTTCATCAGTTCCTGTGGACGATTTCAAAGCAATTTGAAAATTTTGTTATGAGTTTATTTTTGACGTTTAATTGAAGTTAGCTTTGTGATAAAGTGACTATAACACAAACAAAATGTTGAACTAGGTTTTGGTTACTCAAAGAATAAGCTTCGAAGCTTTTACAGAACATTTTGAGTTTTCAAGCCAATTTGGCCATAGAACTTATAAACTTGAAAGACCGTTAGTGTTGTACTGTGAATTGAATGTTAACATCTGGTCTGTGTTGGGAAAATATAAAAACATCAAATCTCTCCAACGCTCAAGATCACGCTTGATTTTTGTAATCAAAGATCAACAAGCAAACAACTGTGCTATTGCAAGCTGTGATATCGCAGCCCGGAATATCAAGCTAACAAAACTCACCAACTGCAAATCTCACCAAACTGTGGTGAGATTGAGTTTTATGATTTTTGCTTTACACCCGAATGCAACCGAAACTTCCATAAAGGCTTGCAGCAGTCCCTTCGCGTCTGCCATCAGTGAAGATTAAAAAGAGATAGCAAACTATACTTTCTCTTTCTAAGAAAACGATGTGCAACGGAATCATTTTTGTGTCGAGTCAACTTTCAGCTTGAGTTTTGCACGTTGTGAATAGTCTCGCAATATCAAAGGTGCTTGTAAAATCAATATCAAGCATGATATTTTGTTCCAATATCACGCGTGATATTGCGAGCGCATGAGTGCGGAAAAATATCAATTGATTTCTGATTTTGCCAACACATGTTATAGGAACAATTGGTATTTTAGAGTCCGTTTTGGCGATGGTTTTGGCCATCTTGCCCAATTTATAAATGATTTTGGTGTTTTTCAATGCATTTATAGCGGCATTCTTTTAGACCATTTCGTAATTTTTAACCAGAAAGTGATAACGGTCAATCTAGCCTTAGAATTAAGTATCTTTCAAAGCCATTTTGAGGTGAAGTTAACGTTTCTTAATAATGATAAAATTGTTTTGG